TACATGTGTGTATGCCTCTGTATGGATGTGAATGTGAGTGTAGAGACCAGAAGAGGGTGTTAGATCCCCTGGGGCTGGAGTTACAGGTGCTTGTGAGCCACGCACTCTAGGTGCTGGGAACCAGTTCAGGTCCACTGCAAGAGCAGTGCTCACCCTTGCGGCTGAGCCAACTCTCCAGCTCCTGAAATGCATTTCTAGTTTTTTCATTCTAGAACAGGTCTTGTTAACTGTTGTTATTTTTGAGGCAGAGTCTCCCTTTCTAGCCCTGGTAGGCCTGGAACTCCCTGTGTAGATCAGACTGGCCTAGAGCTCGTGGCGATCCACCTGCCTCTGACTCTCAAGTGCTGGGATTAAAAGCATGTGCCACCACATTTGGCTTTGCCCTATACCAGTGAATTCTTGGTAACTGATGGAGTTAGGGACAGTGAATTCATAGATGATGTTAATTGAAAACCTACAAAATGATGAGATCCCACTGATTTTTGCCCTGTTATTTAAATCTTCCTTGCAGGAGGTTGGGAGAAAACATAACACCATTTGAATTCTGAGCTTGCCTGTGTACTAGTAAAATTATCTATTTGGGGTTTTGTAGACTCTTATAGCCCACTTTTCTTAGTGACTGAGCTTCCTGTTATAAAATTGCAGGCAATGAAAAAAGACAGGAGGAGGAGATTGTGTGCCTAGACATGGGTTTGGAAATCACAGCACGTGCGTGTGTGTGTGTGTGTGTGTGTGTGTGTGTGTGTGTGTGTGTGTGTACAACTTTGGGGCCATGGCTCTCTCCTTCCACTATTTAAGTTCCCAGGAGCAAACTCAGGTGTCAGGTTTAGCAAGCGCCTACCTTTAACTGCCACCCTGATGGTTCAACACATTTCAATAACAAAACATGGTTCCGGAAGCCTGAGGCAGGAAGGGTGAAAGCCAGCCTGGGCTAGATGACGAGCCCCTGTCTCAAAACTAAAACAACACACAGATTGTATGGACTAGAGCTGGATATAGTGGTACCTGCTGACTGGTGCCCGACTCTGTGAGCCTCGTCTGGAGCCCGCAGGAGTCTAGTTACCAACCTCATCCTACATAAATGTTGGGTCCAGCTATCTAGAAACCACATTTACTTTCTTCCCACTTAGCCCTTCCTGCCAGGGAACTCCTAACCAGAGGCTAATTGAATCAGCAATGTGGTACCTGGGTTAACCTATCTAGGCTATATCCTCCTTCATACATATTGGGGGAGGGGCACAGATGACGACGACGACGGCGGGGGGGGGGCGGGGGGGGGGGGGGGGGGGGGGGGGGGGGGGTGTGACACTCACATGGTAGGAGTTAAACCCAGGGCCTACCCATGCTAAGCATGCTAAGCCCTTCCCTCCCCCTTCCCGTTCTCTGTCCCCTGCCTTTCTCTACATTGAACTTCTGCTTGGGGACCTTCTTGCTCTCGTGGTCATCACGTCTGGTCTCAGTTGCGTATTTCTTGGGTCTTGGTTCCACCTCCTAAAGTATAAATGGGCTTCCTAGGAGATAGGAAGGGAGGGTCAGTGCAAGGAACTCGTCCAGACCCATGGCTGATCATAGTTTTTAATCTTCTCTCTTTGACAGTCATACAACTCAGCACCAGTATTTTAAATAGGCCAGGCCTGGTGGTGCACACCTGTAATCCCAGCACCTGAGCGGCAAAGGAAGATTGCCCAAAGTTCAAAGCCAGCCTGGTCCACAGAGTGAATTGAAGCAAAGGAAGATTGCCTAAAGTTAAAGCCAGCCTGGTCCACAGAGTGAATTGAGGCCAGCGAGGGCTATATAGCAAGATCCACCCCTCCCAAAAGAAGGGAGGATGGTACAAGGCTAGAATGTGGATATCTGTACAGACATATGGGAAGGAGGAGAGCTAGTGATGCTCCCACCCAGGAACTACTCATTTTTATAGCTGCCATAAGACTTGACTTTAAAATTAGTGTCACATATGTAGTCTTGTTCTGAATCTTTTAATCTCTTCAAGTTATGACCTGATATCCGGAAACTTGAAAATAGGTCATGGGTACAAAAAAAGGAGCCCGGATTATTAGAACAACCATGCCTAACCAAATGCCTGGACTAAAACATAAAGCCCCAATAATTAGTGTTAGGACTGGTGAAGAGAGGCAGGAGAGAGTGGAGAAACCATGGTGAGTGTCAGGCAGACCGAGCTGCCAATCAAGCATCACACAAGAAGGGGGAGGAGGAAAGGAAGCCCCATAGCCAGTTGACTCTACCCAGGGATCCAAGGAGGGGCCGTGTCGGAGGAGCTAGTCACTAACTCATTTTAAACCCAGTCAGTAAATCTTACTGGGCACCTATAGTTGATGGGCAGGGGAGTCAGGAGATCTGGATAACTTCTTGTGAACGCTAACTCCGTACCAGTTTGCCCGGGCCAACAGATGTCCAGTTAACGATTAAAATATTTCTACATGTGAAAGCTAGAACAATGTCTCAGTAGTTAAGAGCATACTGGATACTCTTCCAGAGGACCAGGGTTTGATTCCCAGCACCCATATTATGGCTCTCAACCATCTGTAACTCCAGCCATTTGATGCCTTCCTGGTCTCTGTGGGCACCAGGCACACATGTGGTACACATCTTTGCAGGCAAACACCCATACACATGGAAAAGAAAATTAAAATATTTCCACATGTCAACGGGGCTATCTCCAAAAAGACTAGCATTCATTTAAATCTGTGGTCTGAGTAGAGAGGTTACCGTAATTGTTGACAGTGGGCATAGTCTAGTGCACTAAGGGCCTGAATATTGAAGAAGGATGGGGGAAGAGCCAGTCTGGTTCTGTTTAAGCCACACCCACCTTCTGCTGTAAGAAATGTCTTCCTGGTTCTCCACCTGTGGACTTGGACTAGACTTATACCACCAAGATGCATGTGACTGGCTTGCAAATTGCAGTCTAGGACATCTCAGCCTTCAGCTTCTTGTGAGCCAATCCTATGTAATAAATCTCATTGAGCTGCCTCACTCTGTTTCTCTGGAAAACTGTGACCAATGCAAGTCCAGACCCTTCTGGGTTCCAGTCTCAGCCTCCTGTAAAACTGTAGTATGTTCTGAACACAGTAGCTGAAGTAAGTTGATTTAAAAATATATATATATATATGTCACTGGAGAGTCTAATGGCAAGCTCAGGAGGTGCTAAGTCAAGGAGAGAAAAGAAAGTACTAGAAAAGGGGATAAAGGTGTGCAGCTTCTGGGCCTCACAGGCAAGAACCATCAGACATGCTCTGCGCAAAGACACAGCAAAAGCGTGGAATCCAAGGAAAAGGGAAAATCTGCTTGAGTGCCAATGGAGTGGCCACAGAGTGTAGAGATAAAGCCGTGCTTGGGGAAACTTGGGTTGGATGATCAGAGGGTCCATGTGACACCATTTCAAGAAGTACATGCGTCCCCAGTAAGAGAGAAAAGTCTGCGGTGAGCTGGCAGTTAAGACAACATTTAGACATATAGTTGATACAATATTTACATTAGAGTTGAAAGGAAAAGACAAAAATCACAGGAAGGACTTAAAAATAAGCATCATCTTCCTCTTGAAACCTTTCAGTGACTTCTTGTCTTTATTTCTAGTGAAGCCACAGCCCTCCCAGCAAGGAATGCCCTGCCCTCCCCTTCTCTCTCTGTCTGTCCCAGCATCCCCTCCTTGCTCTTCCCTGCTGGGCTGACCGTAGTGCCTCGTGTACCGGGGCTGGCCTCTGTGCACCGGCCGATGATGGGATCTCCTCCCTGTGCAGGGCTTTCCTCAGCCGTCATCTGTACTGGCGTTCCTCTCGGGTGACTGTAAAGAGAATTTCCATTCTTTCTCCTCACTTACTCCTCTTCACCTGTCACTGTCTGCCATGAAGAACGTTGCAGTTATTTTCTCTCTGCCCCTTGGGCATAAGCTCCCCAGGGACAGAGATTTTTGGTCTGTTTGGGCCACTGCTCCGTCCTGGACCCAGAAGTGGCCTATAGTGAGCAAATGCTCAATAAACTGTTGATGGCTGACTGTACGTAGACAACTCTACATCTAAATGTTGTCTTAACAAGTCCTTTGGACACATAGATTCCTTCATGCCCTGGGAAGGACCTAGCAAGTGGCAGGTATGGCCGATGACCAAGTACACTGTGGGGAGAAGGTGATCTTTCTGGGTTATTGTTATACTATCAAACTACAGCTCCCAGCTGAGCTGTTAAGTGATGGGAGGACTACAGTCTGGCTAGGTGACAGGAACCCTGGTGGAGAATGGTAATTCAGCAAGGACACTGCCTCTAGGTAGTCAAACAGGCAAACACTGAAGAGTTAGGGTGCTGATGCACAGTGATGTCTCAGCACTCAGGAGGCAAAGGGATCTCAAGTTCAAGGCCTGTGAGGGTATACAACGAGGCGTGGTCTCCAACTTTTTTAATGTAGCTGAATGGTAGAACACTTGCCTAACACGTAAGCGTAGGCTCCGGGCTTGAGCCAGCACAAGAAAAAGAAAAGCAGACAAGCAGGCAGGTGGGTAGGCACTTGTGAGGCCAGGATCATTCTAGATTCCCTTTGTGAAAGAGGCTGATAAAGCCTGCTACCCAAGGTTGTTGGAAGGAACAGGCAAAGTGCCCGTGGCAGCTTTGAGCATGGATTGTGCTCCTTAAATAGTGACTATTGGACTGTCAGCCACTGTCCCCACCCAGTACAACCACACCTTGCTGACAATGAATGTGCGACCCACTAGAAAGCCTAGGGCCACTCAGCTACCTTACCTGATACAGCTGTGAGGTCACAGATTCTTAAAACACGTGAGGCCATGCCAAGACCCACTCGGGCACCTTCCACAGTCCATGTCCAACTTTGTCCAGAAGCATCGATGACTTTAGACGTTAAACATTGGAAGAATGCATGTGTCATATTTCAAAACTGATTAGGCAGATGTTTAAAACCAACATCAAACGAATTCGCCAGTTCCCAGATGTTAGGTGTCGCCCCACACTCTTCTAATACCACAATTCCACAGGAGGGGCGCTGTGTGTTTCTCTGGCCGTGGATCTTTTCCAAGGGTATGGAGAGAAAACGGTCCGAAGTGAGCAAAGCCTGTACTTTGATCGACCTGTCTTTTCCTGTGGATGTTTCCCTTTTTCTTTCCCAAAGTCGCCCTCCAGTTACGACGGTTTCTGGGCTCTCCCCTTATTATTTAGTCACATTCCTGTTTACTCCTCACCCCTCTCATCTTTTCCTGATTCTTAGACTTTGATGATTGCGTGAATTTCTTCTTCACTTGCCTTCCTGAAAATCCTTCCGAGTGTGACCCTAAGTTCCCAACCACCCTTTCCATCCTCTGCAGCATTTCTGGCCTGAAAGTGCAGCCCTCGAGCTGGGGAGATGCCTTAGTGGTTGAGAGCACTGGCTGCTCTTCCAGAGGCCCCGGGTTTGAGTCCCAGCCCTCATGTGACAGCTTACAACCTTCTTCAACTGCAGTCCCTGTTTTAGTCTTTGCGGGCACTACCCGCATGTGGTGTACAACATACATGTAGGCCAAACACCCATACACACAATAATAATTTGTAAAAAATTTAGCCGCAACCACACTAGCTGAGAATGCTTCTGTCCTACCCTTTCACCAAATCCATTCAGTTTGAAAGTTGCTTGGCTTCCTTCCTATTTCACACTGTGGGAGGGAGGAGAGGCAAGCTTAGTGAATGCCAGGCCCTTACAGCTCGAAAGAGTTAATATGCAGACAGTACTTTTAAAAAATATTTATTTTGTGTGTATTTTGCTGGCATGCATACACACACACACACACACACACACACACACACACACACACACACACACCATGTGCGTCCCTAGTGCCATGGATGTCCTGGAACTGGAGTTACAGACAGTTGTAATCTGCCATGTGAATACTGGGAATTGAATCTGGGTCCTCCAGAGGAGCATCCAGGACTCTTAACCACGGAGCCATTTCTCCAGCCCTGGAAATGGCATTTTTAAAGACTTAAGAGAAACTGCAACACTTGGAAAACCAAGGCTCTGTGTGAGTTGCTGTGGCCTAAGAGCAGTTGAAGCCGAAAGTTCTGAAACCATGGCATGTTTCTGAACAGGGAACCCAGGAGAGCCACTGACCTCAGGCATCCATTCTGAGGTTTGGAGAAGGACTCTGTGCTTCTTGAGTGACCCCCTCAAATTTCCAAGTCATATTACTCGCTCCTGCCCCTTGGCCAATGTAGTACATTAGGGAAAGGCAGACCCCAGCCTTTTCCTCACTTGCCAGCCAGCTGCCAGAAAGCCAGTTTCTCATTCTCAGAGCCCTGGGAGTTTTCCTGGGGGGAGGGAGGGGCGACAACCAATTCTTGCCTTATTATTCCTCCGATTTCCTTTTTCCCTTTGCTAGCTGGGCTATAGGAGGGATCCCAGGAGTCTCAAAGCCCACTCCTGCGGTACAGGTTCACCCCGAGGAACACACTACCCAGGCAAGGAGGAAGCGCCACGTGGACAGCTTACGACTCTGATTTGTTTAGCTCTATCTGCCTTTGGTTGGCATAAACACTTCTGAAAAATGGGCTACAGCTGCAGCCTTTTACTTTGGTTCCCTTTAACGAGGGTTTATAAAACAACTCACTATGCAGAACACATGTTCTAAGTATAGAATTACTTGGTGGATTGAAACAGTGTGGAGGGATGTCAGACACATGTTTAAAATATTCTTAAAATACATAATTATGCCGTGGGCCAATCAGGTACATAATGCATATTTGGATGTCCCACTTAATTGCTGCTTACCTGGGGGAAAGGAATCTTGCTCATCTCCTGGGCTAAACTGCAGATTTTTAGAAACCCTCCAACCACATATTTACTTGATTCATTCTGGTCTCTTGGGCGATGAATCCTTTGCCAAAGAAAGGGCTTTCCATGCAAAACGAGACAATTAAACGCATGAGGTGGTGGTGGTGGTGGCGGCTGCCCATGCAAAGAGAAGGGCTTCATCCCTCATGGCTCAGAGATAAACACCCCATAGCTGGGCACAACCCCAAAGCTTTAAAATGAACCCACAGCAGTAATCACTGAATCCGCTTTCCCATCCAGCATCTCCTTACAGCCCCTTAGGGAAGAGAAAAGCAAAGCGTATCATTCTGGAGTTTTTAAGAGGGCTACAGGGAGACGAGGCTGGATGTCTTCACCTCTATAACCCAGCGAGTCCAGGAGGAATTCTAGCTCAACCTCCTGGAAAGCCCTGCTTCTTCTCCCCCTCCAGTCCCTGTCTCAAAAAGCCTCCCCATCCACACTCATGCTGCATGTCTTCCTCACTCTCATGTCCAGTCAGGAACTATGTGGGCACATCATTTGACTTCTCAGTCTCCTCCCCTGTAGAGTACTGTAGGGTCCTGACCTGATACAGTTGATAATATAGGCACGGTGGCAAATGCCTATCCAGAACACCGGGGGCGGAAGACAGCGTTGGTGTGGGTTCCGCCCAGCCAACGCTGCGTAGTGGAACACTGTCTCACAAGCAAGAGAAAGGAGATCGCTTCCCCCCTCCCCAATGCCACCATCAATGCCCCAATTCAAGCCGATGCCTGATTCTCCCGTCCCCCCAATTGCCCAGGGCTGGCCTTTTCTCCTCCCCCAGGCCCATCCCAATCCTTTAAAACTATGTTTTACTTTATTTTTACCAAATCCAGGCATGCTGCTCCTATGCCTGAAAGTCTCCCATGGTCCCACCCACTGTTCAAAGGCAAAGCCCAGCTTATAGAAATGTCTTCCAAGGCCATTTGTGATCAGATTCGAGTCCTGTCTGTGTCCTGGAAGGCTGGATTGAACTAAGTCTGACTTCAGCAGTAACAGATCAAAGGTATGCATTCCCATGAGTTATCAGGCCCCCTAGTCACCTAGTCCTCTTCTGGAAACAAGTGGACTTTCTTGACACAGCAGTACTAAGAGAGTTGGAGAACCATGCTCCCCGCCCCCCACCCCTGTCAAAGCTTGTAGCTTATGTTTAGCCCCCTGGCCACTTCAAGCAATAGACCCTCTGAGGGGGTGGTTGGTGGGCACCAGGCTTCTCATGACAGATTATGGAAGACTGAGAGCTGGATTTGATGGCTTCTCCAGGCATTCTGGAAGCGTAGTCACACCTCCTGCAAGTGTGGGCACCACGAGTGAGACCCCACACTGCAGCCCTAGACCGCCATCTACTTCCCTTGCTCACCTTATTTCAACTTCCGCCTCTGACCACACAGGCTCTCTCCTGGCTGTAGGGAAGCCAGTCTCTGCCTTCAGTAGATAAATCTGCCGGGGGCTGTGGTGGCTGTTCTCAGTTGTCAACTTGACTACATCTGGAGTGAACTAAGACCCCAACGGCTGGGCACACCTGGGAGGAATTTTTGTTCTTAATTAAATCATTTGAAGTGGGATGACCCACTTTTAATCCAGATCTTTTGTTGTCGTTGTTGGGTTTTTTTTTTTTTTTTTTTTTTTTTTTTTTTTTCAAGACAAAGTTTCTCTGTAGCCCAGGCTGGCGCTGAACTCAAGGGAGATCCGCCTGCCTCTGCCTCCCGAGTGCTGGGATTAAAGGCGTGCACCAGGACTGCCGGGTTCAATCCAGATCTTTTGAGGAGGGAGGATCTGGTGGCAGCCTACACGAGGACATGGAAGAGGAAAGCTTTCGCTCTTGTTCTTGTGGGCAAGTCCATTCCTTCACTGGCATTGGTGCCTACTTCTTCAGGGTCTCAGCGTGTATCGAAGACCAGCAAGGACAGCCAACCTGGTGGACTGAACAACTACTGGATTCTTGGGCCTTCCATTGGTAGACAGCCATTGTTGGACAAGCTGGACCACAGCCTGTGAGCCATTCTAATAAATGAATATATACAAATATATTATAATATAGAATAAATAAATGAATATATATATATATATATTCATTCTGTAAGTACTATTCCCCTAGAGATCACTAATTCAGGGACAAGGCTGCAAATCAGCAACAGAGTGTATGTGTAATGTGCAAAAGGCCCTGGGTTCAATCCCCAGTTTCAGAAGAAATAAAAACTAAGAAAAACCAGGGTTGATTAAAGTGTTTCTTCGTTGTGTGGCCCGTCCCAGACCTGCACTTCAGACCTTGAAGGGAGATTCCCCTAATCTTTGGCCATGGGCTTTCTTCATAGAGGTATTGCACGTCCTTGCTTAGGTTTGTGCCAAGGTGTCTGTTGTTTTGCTTGCTGACTTGTTTTTAGCGGCGATTGTGAATGGGACGGTTGTCCTGATTTCATTCTCAGCATGCTTATCGTTGGTGTATTGGAGAACTACTGGTTTCCATATGCTAATGATGTGTGTATCCTGCTACTTTGCAGACAGTGTTTCCCAGACCTAGTAATTTTCTGGTGGAGATTTTAGGGGCTCTTACTTATAGGATTGTATCATCGGCAAATAAGGATATTCTGGCTTTTTCCCTTCATATTTTACCCCTTTTATTTGCTTTTCTTTCTTTTTTTTTATAATTTATTTAACTTTATATTATGTGCATTGGTATGAAGGTGTCAGATCTCCTGAAACAGGAGTTACAGACAGGTGTGAGCTGCCATGTGGGTGCTGGGAATTGAACCTGGGTCCTCTGGAAGAGCAGTCAGTGCTGCTAACCCCTGAGCCATCTCTCCAGCCCCTTATTTGCTTTTACTTGCCTTGCTGGTCTAGGGGAGACTTCCAGCACCGTGCTGAAGAGAGTGGAGAGTGTGCTCATCCTGGTCTCCTTCCTTGTTTTAGTGGGAATGCTTCTTGCGGTTCTAAAAGCTGGCAAGTGCAGAAACAAGGAACCAGCAGGTTCTGGATTAGTGTGTCTTGGTGTGGACAGAGATGAGGCTTTGTCTGTGGCCTCTTGCAATAGGAGTGTTGATCCAATTCGTGAGGGTCCCAACCTACCGCCTAATGCCCCCCAAGGCCCTATCTCCTGGGCTGGGATCCCAGTAAGTGAGTGAGGAGGGTACACAGGCATTCAGACCGCAGCATAAAGCTTCTTCCTTCACAGGCTGTAACTTC